TAGCTGCCCTGAAACAAACAATAATATTTAATTCTTACCCATACCTATAAATATCCACCAACAGTAATCACAATTCACACAACATTCAGCCTTGATAATGGATGCAGAATGCATTCGAAACGCGTCGACAACTCATCACTAGCTACAACTTTTACCCGTTGTTCTAACAACGTTAAGACGGCTTATCGACTTCTTGAGAAGAATTCTAAGAAGAAAGTAAACCTACAGACATCGGTCTTGTTTAACAAAATCTGCCTACAAGAAAATCTGTCACCAAAGTACACCAAATAAAGATAAGCACACAGTATAAACAGCGAGTTTAAACTGAAACTTAGCTTTCATTAAAGAAACTTTAAGAGTCAAACAAAACTACAAATAGAATACGCAACATTATATAGAACACATGTCTTAAGTTCATATAGAGAGTTTGCAATTTCTAGCACACAAAAAACAAAGTAATACACACTCACATGAGACTGATAAAAGTATCTTCGGAGAATGTTGAAAACTTGAGCAAGCCCAGCAGCAAAAAGGCCGAAGCCAGCCATTAAGAGTACAGCTTCCCAACCTTCTAAAGAAGCTTCCAATTTGTTAGATTGTTTGTTACCAATCCAGGAGCTACCGTTGAATATTTCTTGCAGTCGACGGGATAAGTTGACACATTCAGCAGTATTTCGAAGAAAACTGTTACTGTTAGTTCCAAAGGAACCCTTCGCAGTCATAATAATTATAAGGATGTATTTCAGTCTAGTTACGTTCATGGTAATTTAATGGAATTATATTAAATGTATACGTATATGGCGTTGTTAGAGAGGTCGATCGTGGATATTTCTGATAATATAAACAGGCAGGAATAAAGTGAATTCAATAATGAGAATAACTAAATAAATTAGACTTTTAAGTTTAAATTTATAAGTAGTAAAATTTATCTCATATCTCCATTTTTTACTTTACATTATTTTGTAACCCAATAATTGCTTAATAGTACAACAGACCAACTGGTTTTATCAGGAAGTTTCGAAGTATAATTGAGCGACACAAAGTCTCTAAACCTTAGTTACTTAGGAAAAGTAGAGATCAACATCATTTAAACTTGTTTCTAATATACTTTGATATGTCAGCATCAGTTGTAGACCAACCAACTTTAAGAAAGGTAACAGGAAGATGACAAAATCAGGTCTTATAAAATACCAACTGTGCAGTATTTCAAGGTGTCCTTTGAAAGATATACTAGTTCAACTGAACTCCCTTCTATAAACACATCGAATGTTATAAACTAACTTAGCAATTGGCAGGAATCAGCGCCATCTTTTGAAAAGAGTTTCGCAGTACGAAATATTTGCCACATAATTTATCACATGACTGTTTCTATGACTACCGTATGTTGTCCAGAGTGATTATGCCATACAGAAAAATAATAGTTGTAACTCTAAACTGGATTTTGTTCTAGATGAGTGAATAAGTAAACATTTATAAATGTTTTATATAATATAAGAAGAATATCGTGAATTGGTTATACCAACGAAGGATGTTCGTACACGAAACACATGATTACCACATCTCTTCTATAATTTTGTGGGTAGATAATATAATTGTATTCGTGCACTTGATCTTAAATTCTACCACAACTCTGATGAAAAGCTACGTGGAAAATTAAATTCTTATCTTTGCATGTTCAGTTTATTACCATAACATCAAAGAATTTTGAATTCGATCACTTCGTGATGTCAAGAAAACACGTAGGCTCAAAAAGTCAATTAAAGACAAAAATAAAATACTCTATAACCTTAACGTTTTCGAAAGGTTACCTTTCTAAAGCGATAGGGTTATAAGGTTTCTTATTATTGTCACGAATTCGATTAAAGTATCCTGGACAAATACTTCTTATCTGGTTGTGTATATATGTATGTAAGGGAAATCCCATCACGCTGTAATTTATAATCTTAACTTGTATTTCTTTGTTGAACAAGTTCGTATACGTACATTTTGAGCTTCTCCGAGTGTAAAATGAAACTACAGACACACTGTTCTTCGTCAATAGAATTTGCTTAAAATCATAAGTTTTCTGGTGATATGTTAAGCTTAGATATCTTGAACTTTGATATTAATATAGAATATTAATAATAATTTTTTAGACTATGGACCAAAATAAATGGATGAAGTAAGTCAGTGGAAATACCCAGTTGCTAATACAGTTGAACAACTCCTGTTTATCCAGCATTTTTGTCACGTCTTGTATGCAAATTAATTCAGTTCAGTTTTTGAGAAATTACTCGAAGAGGGTATAAAGCACGGAGTACGAATGAGTGAAAAATGATTTGATTACGAAATATTTATTTTATATTACGGTGGTTCTAATAATACTTACTGACATTCTATGGGGTTTATGAAATTCATTCTCTTAGGCAACTATCAAATCAAAGAAAACGTACAAAGATATTATCCTGTCCTTGTGTTATTCATTTTATATTCCGACAACAAGAACTATTGAATAAACTTAGATGACAAAATTGTTATCAGTTACTTCAGCATGTTTTTAATAAATTGAATTACTAGAGACATTCTAAGAAATAAGTTGCATATTTTAATCATTATGTACTCTGTTTCAAAGATTGTTGCGTGGCTTAGTGGTTAACATGCTCGGACTGTGAATCTGAGGGTTCCCAGTTCGTGACCCACTACTCCAAAAATGTGCTACGAACTTTGGAGCTCTAGATGCGACACAAGTGTAATAGTCGAGTCCCAGTATTCAGTGAGACAACGGCAGCTGTATAGTTGGCAGAAGAGTGTTGTTGAATAGCTGTTTTAATCTACTAATCCGAAATTTGAGATTGCTAAATACAGGTAGTTTTTTTCTCTAGAGTAACTAAAAAATTCTGAAACAAACGAAGAAAACGTTTTCGCGTGTCTTGAAAACGATGCCATTCCAAATATATAAAGTACCTGAAATTTATCTTTTCTTTAAATGGACATTAATTCGAAAAAGTTACTTTTATGCTTATTTTTGCAAAATTGGTGCGTGTTTGAATCCCTACGATACAACTTTTAGTTGTAAGTGAGTTATTAGAGTGACAAATAATCCCTTAGCGTTGATGGGGAGTAGTAGAGTGCTGCTTACTGGTTACCTTTTTCTCTTGTCAGTAGTTCAAAATTAGGAACAGCAGCAGATAGCCTTAGTAGCTTTGCCATAAATACGAAATACAAATACATATTCGTTGCAAATACATGTGAAAATATTTTGAGGTCCAGAGTCGGAAACATAAATCTTGATAATTATGGGTTGCAATTGGGATACAGTAGCCTGTGTTAAATGGCATAATCTTATGCAGTATCTGTAGCTCTAAAAACCTCCTGACTTAAAAAAAAACAAAGCACATACTAAATAGAAACACCTGAAACGAAGCTACGAATATCACATAGAGATTCGATTCACTTACAACCAGATGTGTATTGAGAATCAGGCGTTTTGAAATCAGCCTCTAAGAATTTGGAAGACTCTAATTTAACATTTGCCAAAAATACCATTGAAACAGCAATTTCAGATACTTGAGGCATATACAATTATTAGATAATGTACAATTCTGGAAAAACCTATAAAATCATGGAGACCCGCATTAACACCCCAAAATCTTAATTTAACAGAGACATGAACTTAGAATTCTGTAATTTAATATCCTGTCATAAATATGATTAACTAATATTTCGTCTAGTCATCTTAAGTGATCCCACAACCTTCTCTATAAAGCTTTATATCTAGACTGTGTTTTCAATATAACAAAGTCATGTAACATAGTCCAGAAAACTTTCTAACCTGCAAACGGATAAGAAATATTACTAAAAATGACGTCGCCCAGTGTCTTGTTTGTGTTCTGTTGTTCAATGCAATATTTCTAGGTTCTTCTTTTAGGAGCACTGTATGAAATGACTGTTTAAAATAAGCTAAAATAACCTCAGGATAAGTTTCAAACAATGTACTGGAAATGAATAAATAAAAACATACTTGATAGATATTTATATATGTTAAAAGAATTACACTGAAAGTTTGCCGCCCCACGATAGCTCAACGGTAAGAATGGAAGTTTATAAGGCTAACGTTAGGAATTATATTCTTGCAGTAGGTACAGCGCTGATAATCCATTTGGAAGCTTTGTACTTAACTAAGAGCTTGTATTTACAAAAAAAACAGCAAACTATCATATGGAAATATACTGTAAGTAGAAAAAATTGTTAGAATCATTTCCCAACGATGTGTATTGCTACACTTCGTTTTCATATTTCACACTCTATAAATGACGAGTTAAATTCTGTTTATATGGTTCTTCAGGAGCGAAATGTTGTGCCATCGCTTAACTTTGCTGAAAACCTTCAAATATGATCTTGAATTTCCAATCCCACACAGTTTTTTCCATCTCAAATTGATCATTGAAAGTTAGTTAAATAGGTTTTTCCTGTTGTGAAAACACTGAAGACGTGCTGTATTCCTGTCTTTAAAGTCGAATGTCCCAGCCTGATTAAAATTCGCTATCAACAGATTGATAACTTGTGCATCTTTGGGCTTTTATTTGAATTTTTAAACGCACTGAATGTCTAAGCTTGTAAATTAACTTTCAAAATATCAAGATAATTAGGAGTTTTTATTGGGAGAGAAGTTAAAACTTTCTCTGATCATCTTTTTTTTTTTTCAACTTCGATGTTCAAATTCCAAACTGCCCCGGGGAAAATTAGGTCTTGGGTCAATTTCTGTGTATTATTTCTATCAACTAACTAGTCTTCAGAAATACAAATAAAATGTTTTGATGGTAACACTAAGAACTTAAAGATCTTGCATTTTTAATGTTGATCTAGGTAAAACGTATGTGTATAGTCTTTCTAAACAAAATCGTTTCTTTCATTTTTAAAGACTTAATCATTTCGAAAGACCTTTTGAAATTAGGTCGATCTCCGTTTATCATAAGATAAAAATCCAGCTGCGTGACAAGTTTTATTCTCAGTCGCTACAGTGCAGTACCAAGAACGCTTGTGAACAAACCCATGTCTATCTACACTTATTTCGCTATTTATGTATCATTACGTTACCAGTCAATAAATGCTCTACGGAATATAACAGCTGCTTTCTGATCTTTCTCCAATTTGTGATTTCGTTTATAGAAAGGCCACATAGTGGTCTTCATTTTTCTGATAATCTGAAGATGAGATACTTAATAATTCAAGAATAGTTTGAGCTTATCATAAACATTTTAGATTGATTCTCTTCCTTATAGCTGTTTGTATAGAAGGCAAAATATCATTTATTTATGAAAAAGTACAACATAACAAAGAGCGTTTCATATCAATATGATCATTAAAATTTATTGTTGAACAGCAATAAATCGGTCTTCCAGATTTACCGCACTTTTAAAAACAAGCAACGCCATCTCTTAAATGGTACACAGAACGAATACTTAAACTGGTTCCTCTTACGATATAAAACCCCAGCTTGGAAATAAGAAAATCTATAACTGAAACAAGGACATAAATATTCAAACTTTAATTTCCAACTTAAATCACCAGATAAGAATATTGATTAAAAAAATCGTTGATTAACTCTCAGATTACCGACTACGGATTAATTTCAGTTTGGGGAAATGTATTTTATATGAGTCCTAAGCTATTAGGGACCCTGTAGAAAACAAAGTCAAGCAACTTGATGCAATAATAGGCTACCATGTACTTAGTTTGGTCT